CCAATCAAGATTTATTTTTGCAGTTGTCATAAGAAAAGGTTAAGATTTTATATACAAATATCATAGAAAAAGGTGTTATCTAAAAGTATCAAAGTTCTTGAGCATGTGAATTTCATTTTATGATAAATTTTAATAAGAGTATTTGATTTTATATGGACTATTATGTAGTAAACGATGTAATTATCTCAGATATATACCCTCTTCCTAATACTATTGTTTGGGGAGAAATCATTAATTCACCAAGTTAAATCTTGCTTCTGAGTACTGATAAGTGTTAATGGTTAGGGAGGAAAAATACTTTCTATACACTATTTGATTTGTACGAGTTTTTAGTGATGTTATATGATTTGAACAATGTTTTAACATAGCAAATGATGAATGAAGTTCTTTATAATATATCAAAAATAACATTAACTTTATCAATGATGTCTTGATCCTCTTGAAGGGGATGTGGGAAGAGCACATTTGTGATATCTATAAAGTGTTAGATTATTTGTGGGATGATAGTTTGAAATTGAAGTGGTTGAAATGCACATTTGGGTCGAAAGACATAACTTATCTTGGGTACTACATTTTTCCTAAAGGTTTATAAATTGATTTTATTAAATTTGTGTCATTAATCATCTTTTGTATCATACTTGCATCATTCCAAATGTTGCTAAAGTTATTAACAATGTTTTGCATTTGGTCTTAAGAATGCATAAACATTTAAAGAAGTGTTAATAACTTTTTCAAAATTGGCAATTACATTTGATCTTTTATTTTGCATATGTATACTTTCAATATTGATATCAAATATATGCTAATGCAAAAGAGTACAAATATGTTTGGTTAACATCATCCCGTTGCATACATCAACTATATTACAACTAGTAGAGGTGAACTACTCCACAATAGAAAAAGTGTCTTAAAAAAGTTTTATGCATACTTGTATGGTTCTTTAATATTGTTGAAGGGCAATCATGTTATGGTCACTTCATTATTGAAGTGAAAAAACTTGATTAGTCATATTGTTTAATAAACTCAGAAGCTTTAAATATATGATTTCAAGGTTATTTATTACTTGGGGAATCTGATGTTAACACCTTTTGTTTAAGCTTCTCTTGCTTCTTTACTCTCTTTTTATATTCTTGATAAGCTTATTTTTTTGAGCATTAATGGATTTTTTAAATGAGAATATAGTGTCATTAGTAATTATTGTGTTTGATATTTAATGTTTATAACATGTAAAAACTAAATTTACCTTCTTTTGACAAGATTCATGAGACTTTAAAGGTTAAGTTATGCATTTAAAGGTTACATGATAAGTTTGAGAATCTTGCATCACTTGAATGACTTGCCATTAGCACTTATATTTTCACTTTTGCTTTGAAGATAACCTTTACTTTGTTTTTGATGACCATTTATGGCTTATGGTGCCTTTGATTTTTATTCTATGTTTTCTTTATATTTAACATGACTCGTTGATTCTAGATAGATATATGGAACATTGTTATATGAATAAAAAATATACATATATCATAAGGTACAGAATTCCATTAGTGTTTCATTATATAAACTTTTATATGGTTATGATCCAATATTGCCAATAGAATTGAATTTACTTTGCAATTGCCATAAACTATCAATGTTAGGTTTGGAATTAATATTTTATGAGCATTCTTCCATTGATTTGAGTCAAGTGTGCTAAACACTTAGATTATACATAAGTGGGACAACAATGGTGTTATAACTTGCATCATTTACCACTTATAAAGTAAATGTAATTTATTTTTTCTTAATTTTATAATATATAATTTGTCTAAAGGGCTTTTTACCTAGTGAAAGAGACAATATTGATTATTATAGCAAGCTGAATTGCAAATTTATAAAGTTCAACACAATATTTATCCAATGTTCCTCTAGATTCTAACCTATCAATAAGAGCACCTTAATTATCTTTCATCCTTTTGAGAGAGGGGGATGATTGTGAGGTCCAGATATATGACTATAATGCTATATACTATTATTAATATAATGGGATAGCTTAGATAATATAGAATAATTTGAAATATTAATTATTAAAACACATAAAATCTATAATTCAGAATTTTCCAACAATAATAGTGGGAGACTTTGATATTAAAGATGAATCAGAAGGATTAATAATTTGCTGCACATTGTGTGCAGCAATGCTTGGTTTGCTTAATAGTACTGTTATTATTTTTTATTATTCTAACTAATCAAATGACATTTTATAATTATAAAAATGTTTATAATGTATAAATACAAAATTAATCTTATTTAATATTAAATATTAGATTAGAATATACTAGGAAGTGTTTAGAAAAATTTATAAATTATAAATATAAAATTATAACAACCATGAGATGGTAAAATATTCTAGAATATTTGAATATATTTTAAATACATTCACTACTAACTCTCATGCATTTGTGAAAACCCTAAGTTTTGGTTATGAAGGTCCTATGCTCTCTAGAAACAGCGTGCCAACATTAAGGGACTCCTCTCTTCAGGTACGTCATCTGGAGATCAATCCTGAAAATCTTCTAGTGTGGAGGAAGAAAGGCTCGATCTCTTCTACGTGGACAGTGTGAAGAGACAGAAATTCGCTTTCTGGGGTGGAGGTGGTGGTGGTGGAGCAGTGATGGCCGCCAGTGGCAAGAAAGAAGAAAAAGAGATCTAAGTTTTGCCTTTTATTTCTTGTGTTTGGAACTCTCGAGGTTTTACGGTTTCAAATGAGGGTTTGGATTCAGCATAGCGACCGCCCGGCGTTACAGTTCGAGGTCGGCGCAGATGGTTTGATCGATGTAGCGGCCGTTTGCAAGCAGTTCCTCCTCGATCCGAATGCAAATCTCCACGTTTCAGGAGTGGCCATCGAGATGATTGCTGCTAAGGCAAGTAGAACTCTAGATTCTATCTTGGGGGCGGCCACTGAAGGTGGGGATGGCACAACTAAAGACAATGCCTTGATCATAAGGGAGGACCGTTATCTTTGGTTTCGACACCAGAAACCGGTATTTCTCTTGTTTTCTGAAGTTTTTTGTGCTCATACGTGATGTCCAGGATGGTTCGACCGACACAGTTGGATTATTCTCGGACGGTCTTTTTGACTTGCAAGACCTTTGTAGCACATTCGGTCTCGACCCCTCAAGCGCTGTACGTGTTGCTGGCCTTCGTCTAAAGTTTACGGACAAAGGAAGGAGTCTACACACTGTCCGGAAGGTTCAAGGTGTTGGAGGCATCGAGGATGGCTCGTCGCGAGATACTGCGTTTACTGTTGAAGGCTCGCCTGCTACGACTCGTAAGTTATTTCTTTCTTTTTTCTTTTCGTTCTTTTATCAT